CCGCTTGGCCGTGCGGCGCTGCGGGGCGCGGGGAGGGTCCTGCCGGCCCGGGCCGGCGCCAGAGTCCCGTTATACAAAATACAAAGATTTTGATTTTCAGTTTAATTTGCGTTTTCGCTTTGGAGGGAGGGATGTTACTAGCTCTGAGTAGCTCTGAGGGTTATTTTCAATTTGAATAATTAGTAGTGAGCGTTTGGTGGCTGTGTGGGTTTAAACGCTTCTAAGGAGGCGGCTTGTGGGTGTGCTGGTGCAGCATCAGTAGTATCCTTATGTTTCTAGAGGGATCAGTAAGACATCAGTGTGTCACTTGGCTGCTTTCCTTAGACGTACTGGAGTAAATATGTACGCTTAGCTTAACAGCAGTTTTCTGTAATCCATTTGAAGTCTTTACTAGTGTTTGAACACTTAGAGCCTGCTATTCATGGTTCTCACTCTTACTCCTTAAGTAGGCTTTTTACTATGCATTAGAGGTTTCGTGGGTAGTCTTATCATAATCGTTTATCTGAGGTGTCTGGGACTTCAAGGGAACAGGAAGTTCTATCAGAAATACAAAAAAAGATATGGAAACTCACAGAATCTGTGCAAGCAATGAGTAGAGTTTGATGCAGTGATTTGCCCCAGGTGAAATGTTCAGCGCTGGTTGGTACTTCCAAGTGTAAATGTTGAAAGCTGACCTATTTTGTTGTCAAAATGTTTGTGTTTCAGGAGGTAAGGTCAGGGTGGAGGTGGTGATCCCTGTAGTTGTTTGCATCGATGTTGCTAGCGTAGCGGCCTGGTAGAATGTTGTTTTTGTAGCGTTGACACTGACGGAGGAGCGGATGTTGGTAACTGCAGGTGTTCGGGCAAAGATAGCACGAAGACATCAGTCATTGTATTAACGTAACCCCCAACGCATTGCTTCCATTTTTCTTGCTCCCGGTGATACGTTAAAATGATGTGGTAAGAAAACTGAACCATTCTGATTATAAATCCTCATCAGAATGTGGCTGATGTTAATTATCTTAATTAGTTTACACATTTCTGGCCTTTTTTCCCTTTTGTGGTGGGAGTTAATTTGACTTTTGTGGTCAGTGCTTGTTTATATAATTATTTCCTTTCCTTTTCTTTTTTCTTGCTCCTATTTTAAGTCAAAGTTGTTGTGAACCCGTCAGGAGAGATTGGAAGAAAGCCTCTTCTCTCAGGTTATTTGATATCTAGGTTGAATATACCTAGACTTGTCACACTTATGCTTGTAAATGCTTTTGAAAATCTTATGGGCTAATATTTGTTAGTGGGAAGAGATGGATTCTCTTTGTATCCCTGCTTTTCCTCAGTGCCTCCCTCACTATATATTATGTGCTGTTATGATGGACATTTCCTTCTGCTCTTGCACTTCTGCTTTTTTATCTTACCAGTAGAGGACTGTGTCTATTCAAAGTTTTCTGCCTGTCCCAAGTATGGTGGGAGGTGCAGAAAGTTACTCCCTTCTCCCAACTCAGGTTAGTCTGTTTTGTTTCCTGTAAGAGGTACTGGAATATCTTTGAAGCACTATAAAATACAGATTCTAATTGTTAGAGGAAAAAACAATGCTTTCTGTGTATGTCCTTAAAACAGCAATTGTTGCAAATTTGGAACATGAAGTTTCGACTTAGTTACAATTATCTAAGCATCTCTTCTAGGTTTTACTCCTACAAAAGCATCTGAGGGTTTTTTGAGAGCTTTCCAAAACGGAGGAGGGGCAGGACTGGCTCATATTTGTCAGTCTCTGCTGTTTGTGAAAGTAACATTACAAACCCAGATAGATCCCAGTAGCCTCAGAGTTACTGCAGCTGTCTGCCTCTGCATTTACAGCCCAGCGCTGGTTTCAAGCTACAAGATGTAGCTGTCTGGATTAGAAAGCTGTATCATTTTGAAACAAAAATGTAGATTCTGGAGCAAGTTGGTAGCACGTGTTGGAAAATTACAAGTCTGACGAAAATTGGTGTCTCAAGTAACTTTAAAAAAGCAAGAATTGTGCACAAAAATACTGCAGAATAGGGGGGTGCTTTTGTAAATGTGTCAGGTTTTTTGTTTAGCATACATTATTTAGGAAGCAAAAAAGAGTAAAAAAATTGACTGATAAAGAAAACCCAGTTATGCAAAAAAATCTAAAGTTTAAGCGACCCCTGTAATCTGCTTGATGAAGAAACCCTTTTGGGGTTACACCCATTTTACCAGCACAGATCAAGACGTAGTTCTGTGATAACCGGAGCAAAGCCATTCGTGGCAACTGGCCACAGCAGAGCAGCTTGCACTGTGTCCGTAGGAAACGATGTTTCATCTCTTGAATCCTTGTTAATGGAATTTAATCATATTGATCCTAGGAAATTAGTCTCTATGGTTGTTATTAATGCTGTGTTAGGTCACAAAGAAACAGGTTTATTTTTTTTCTATAGAAACAGATTAAATGTGCTCAAGATGCAGGGAAGTGCATTTTCCTCCCTTCAGATGTATTTTTTCCCCCCTCCTTCTGGTATTTTCAGATGCATCCTTGCTTTATCTCATTTGTTGCAGCTTTTTATTTTTTTTTGTATGAAATTTATCTCCTTTTTTTCCATATCAGCATTTTGAGGAACGTACTTGATGGTGGATTCTGTCTGATTAATTTTCTTCATTTCACTCCTCTAAATGCAGAACAGGTTCTCACTTCTGAGATTAATCTTCCATCTCTGTATTTACTTATTGTCTGATGTAGCTGTGTATTTTTTTGTTGTTGTTGACTTTTTTGGTAGTATATCTCTACCTTTTTTCCAGCTCGTGTTTTCCTTTTGTCAAAGTACTGGTGATAATTCTTACTAGCTTCAGTGAGGTCCATCAACAGTGATAAAAATGGGAGTGTTTTTGTCAGCTTTGCTGCCTAATAATGTAGCTGAGCATGTATGTGCATGCTGATGTGTAGTGGTACAGACCACCTGGACCATGTTGTGGTGTCGGGACTGGCCAATGTTGTGTTCTTGTCTTGGCCACAAGAGGATAATTGAGAGGATAATGTATTGGGATAATTGGGCACTTCCTAACCATACCTGAAACTCCTGCTGCCTGGATTCTAGCCCACTCTGGAAGGAGCCAGAATTACTTGACAAGAGTTATGGCCAAATGAAAAAAAATCACAGACCAAAGTCAATCATCTTGCAATCCTATGCACAGTGATCCCAAGTGAGAGCCTTGGAGCTCTCCAGGATCACAGCAGGTGATCAAAGGGATTGCAGGGTCAAAAAATCTCTGAACGTGAAGGCATATTGCAGTTGAAGGAGGAGATGCTTCATCAGATTAATTATCTGTTATCAGAGGAAAAGCATTTATTAAATCAAACTTTTTATGCAGCTGGATCTTATTTTTCTCTACTTAATGATATTGAAAGACAAATCAATATAAATTAAGTGAATGCATTTAATAATTTTTCTGAGTGTTTTAAAGTAAGCGGTGAAAGTAGCTAACGAAAGAAAAGTAGAGACTTGAAATAGCGAGTAAAGATGATAACAGAAAAAAATGGAGTTTATTAGGAAATTGCTTTTTCTGTAGTAATATGTCACAATAAGTTTTTTGATACTGTGGATTCAGCTGAATGGTTCATATTCTTTCTTAATTGAGTTTAGTGAATTACTCTGTATTAGTTCAGGCAGATCATGGGGCACAGACGTTCAAAAGATTTAGATTTTAAATGTCTGTTTACTTAAAAGGAAAAATGTACCTTATGAATATATATGGATTTTTTGCTAACTTCAGTTTCATTTTTTTTTTTTTGGAGGCATCTGAATGGGTCTTCAGAAGCAGAGTTGCTAAAACTGACTGAAAAGTAAGTGTGTGTGTGTGTGTTCATTGTTTTTCACAGAAATATCTATCTGGCACTGCTACCTCTGTTTACAATTAATAGGTCCTTTTGTCATGATGTCTGTAATAATATTTTTTTATAGTCTCATAAGCCTATTTCTAGTTAAGTATTTTTGTTTCGTGAAATTAGGTAATGTTACATATTTCTCCTGAATATGTCCTGCTATTTCTTTTTGTTATTGATTATTTTTACTAGTGACAACTACCATTGTGAAGGGAAACTTTGAAAAATATAAATCTAGCAGTTTCTTAAATGTTTTCAGTGATGTGTAGTATATAATTTGTCACCTCTATAATCAGAAAGGTTTCAGCTCCAAGTTCTTGTTGCACAACATAGCATGATTAGAATCTATGGTGTTGGTTTATTTCCACCTCTAGTTGTTAATTTTGACATTTGAAAGTCACTTTTTTCTGGAAAGTGGAATTTTTGTGTTCTGCTGGCTCCCAATTTTAAATGGGAAGAATCTGTATGTGAAAAATGCAATTCATTCATGTGTTCAAAGTGCAGAGCTTTGTACTAACCAAACGATGTGTTGTGTCTTAACCTCTTTCCAGATGATTGAGATGTTGAAATAATTCAGTCAAAGTTATTATCTTTTATAGAAAAGTGGAAATAGTTCCATCTAATTATTAGCAATTGAACACTTTTTAAAAGAAGTCCTCTATTTTTAGCAGAACAATAGCAAAATTGCTATAAGGTATGTGTGTATGAATTCATATGTACAGCTGATATTTGCAGTATGCAGATATTACAGTAGAGCTGTTCATAATACCTGTAAGTCCTGTAATTATGTTGATTATAATGTACTAACTTCCAGTTGTTCTTGCTCATACTGCGAGTTATTTTTGCTTAAAGTTAATTAATTACTTTCTATGACTAGATAGACTTACTTTTAAAAGAGCTAATAAAAAAAAAAAAAGGAAGTGTGTGTGTGAGGCTTGTGCATAATACGTTGTATTGGGAGAGGCCTGTGAACCTTTGCTTCTGTGCTCGCTGTCCTTTCATCTACTCATAATGAGTCTGGGTTTGGCTAATTGGATTTTTATTGTTTTCAGTGGCATATCGAAGAGATGAAATGTGGTCTGAGGGAAGATACGACTATGAAAGAGTCCCAAGGGAACGTCTCCCTCCAAGGGTTCATCCTGATGTAAGTGTATAGTACATTTCTTTAGCTTTATACCATTATGCTATACCTTTGTACCATAACTTGTACCATAAGGGCTGGATTTCTGTACGTATTTAAGTTCCTAGTGTACCCCAGGTTCTTTTCTTTTCCCATTCATTTAAGCCAGCCATCTAGCAACTGCATCTGCACAGAGGTAATAGGATGCCTACAAAATTAAATCTTGTATTATGTTTTTCTAATCTATTGAAAGTGTTTTAGAATATTTGTATTTTGGTAAATTGACTTTTGGGGTATATTTTTTTTTTTTTCTGTTAATAAACAAAGGATTTTTAATAACTGGAAATCCAAAGACTGTACTATGTTATATTTTTCCCCAGAGGTGTGTTTTTTGTGTTAATACATCTTTAAAGTGATTTGAGGTGGTAAAACGACTACTTTTGGTATTGTCCTTGTCAATGATGTAATTTTTTATTAAAGTGTTAAAAGTATAGCAGGAAATGTTTGTAACGAATGTTCAAAATATATATTCAATAAAGAAAATGAATTTTGGAGCCTTGGAAATGCTTGTCAAGAAGAGTGTCGATGGAAATCTACTGTGTAGGCATGGAGGCTTCTACTGTGTGTCATTCTTGTAAAAGCAAGCACAGAAGCAATGCTTGCTCTGCTGTAGGATAGCTTTAGAATGCTTTTAGAAAATCTCTCTGCTAAAGAGATGGGTGAAATTAGTAGGCTTTTTTTTTTTTTTATCTCCTGTGTCTGGATTCTCTAAAGAAGAAAGAAAACAGGTTGTAGCTTTTTCTCTTTAGATATTATACCTTAAATAGAACTTAAAGAATACTTTTTAATAGTTCTGTTTACATGCTGTGCAATGTACATTTGGCAAAATAAAATTTCAGGTACTTGTGCCTGTTACCTGGCTTTGTCTTTTAGTTCTTTTAAATGTTGCAATAATAGCATAGCTGATTGAGCGTACTTTCTGGGTTCTTTCTACCATATTTTCAGCTTGTTGCTTTGGAAGTGTACCAGTGTTGGTAACTTGATAATATAGTTGTGTAGTCTTCTTTATTGAGTAGTGTAGTAGTGTTTGGCTGCTCTGTGATGTTTTTAACTCTCTTTACAGGCAACAACAAAATTTCTGCATTTTCAGCAAACTGGAGATCAGATAAGTTTGCACAGGGTATTTAGCTGCTTCTCCAAAATATTTATCAGCAGTAGGCTGTGTGGAAAGGCACAATGTACTTTCATAGATTTTGAATTTTCTTTTTAATTGACATTGGACTAACGCATTGCTCATTTAACTTAACCATTGCAACAGAGACACTCCTAAATTCTTTTAGTCTTTCAAGCTGTCCAGGGAACAATGTGTGGCATATGCATTATGAAAACTTACAGTTTAGAAGATGTGATGCACTCATTTTTGAACTTGATAGTTTGATGCTATCTTTATATTACATCTTTGGAACTGGAGATGAGGAGGCTAGCAGAATACGCTTATTTATCGCAATCAGTACTGTTTATCAGCACCAAAACAACACCCCCAGCAGTTGGACAAAGCCAGATCTCTGCCTTACTGAAAGATGGGTGTGAAGCTCCTTCTCATACAGCTCTGCTGATTCAAGATAGTTGACAGGCAGATCCTGTTCTTGTAAGCCTGTGCCATCGTATCTGTGTTCATGTATAGAGGTCTGACAATTTTGATGAGACACTTAAGTAAGATAACATTTATTCAGTCTATGGACATGGACAAATGGGCATTTGCTGATGCATTAGTGTGTTGAAATTGAGACATGCAAGTGACACAGAGTGAAGTATCTTTTGTTTGAGAGAGCAACAGGCTCATCCTAATTTAAACTAGTTGCTAATTGTATGCTAAGTATAGATTGTAGTAGAAACACATGCTTTCAGAACTTGGTAAACAACATGAAGTTGCAAACACTTGGCACAGTGAACCTGAGCTTTTGTGCAACTATCATGTTGTATGCAAGTGTAATTATGTGAGAGGGACTTCTGGATGATGTTAAAGCATGGAGCAGATTTATTTTGGCTTCAGAGCACATCTTCTTTGTAATATGCCAAACTGACAAAAAAAAAAAAAGGCATGTGGAGGATGTTCAGTGAGGTAAGGGTAGGTCAAGCATTGTGGCTGTGTACGAATGTGTGCCTAGCCTCTGCTTTGTGTCAGCGTGGCTGTAGGCTGGCTTTGGATCGCCCTCTAGTGAATTTGTTAGGTGGTCTCTGAAAGCGGAACTAATGTTTTGGGTTTTTTTTTCCGTGACAATATTTAACTGTGTGTGAATTTAACGTATTTTTCTACAAAAACTATTGGTGCATTAGAGTGTGACTTCTACTACCGTTAAAACTAATTTGAGTGTCTTTCCCGTCCTCTAAATTGCATGTGCCAACTCCGGTCTCTGCATTTATAGCTTGTATTTTTAAGACACATAGAAAAAATATGTTGCTAAAGCAAGAAGACTTAAAATACAAGGTCTTACATTCATGGTTTTGTTTGCTTTTTATTTGCAGTTAACTTGGTTCTAAAAAATGGAATTTGTATCTTTTGCAACTGTGCAGCTTGCACTCAACAAAGTATTTCTTTAACTGGTAAATTTTTTGAAAGAAATTTTGTTTGAAGGAAATAAAATAAATTAATTTTGCATTCTACCAAAAAGCTATCCAAAACTTGTATTAGAAGAAAAACCAAGAGTGTTGGAACTGGCTCTGTCACTTGAATCCTCAGATCACCTACTGCACTGTATGGAGAAGGTGCTTGTCTATTCAGATCACAAAGCACAAACTGTCTTCACTAGTCTCCATAGTGTGGAGGACGTTACTGACGTTAAGAAAATTAATAGTATTTTCAAATGGGTTCTTTGTTTTCCAGGCATTCCAGGTGTAACTTTCTTTATTGCATTCCTAAGTTAAAGTTTCTGAGAAATAAATGTAGCTACTGCTTTAAAGTCACTGATGTTTATGAAGTAGCTAATGTTACTGCTTTAAACTTTCAAAAGAAACTTAAACTGTGTTGAAAATTTTCCCTCTGTGGTTAAACTTGTAATGCCTAAGGGTTGCATCTGAATGGTGTCCTGTTTGACTTAGTAAGTTATTCCACTGTCAGACTGGCACGATTCCTAATGCTTGTTGTTCCCCTCTGCTATTTCAGCTTTAAGGTTATTATTGTACTGTATTTGGAAACAACTAGGTTTTTATTTTGTGTATTCACTACAGATTTCCACCTGTTGAAAGCAATATGATTTTGTTTGTCTTGTGGTTTAGGATGATTATCATAGAGTAGTAAACACTGCGCCCAAGAAACCAGCACTGCTTGAGAGGCCTGGGGATGGGAACTACAGTCGGTATGATGACTACAGCCACGCCGAGTACAGAGACTACGACCGAAGAAGCGGCCCGCCGCACCGCGGTGTACGTAAGGTGATTCTTCTCACGTGTTTGTGAGATCCATCTTCTCAGTGGTGCTTGAATACTGAACAATTCAAATGTTCTCTCACGCAGTGCATTGATGTTACTGCTGTTCTCATAAGCTGATATAGAATTAACAGAGAAAATATCCAGATTTTGATAGCTGGTGCATTTTTGCAGTTATTGTGCTTCTAAGATTCTTGTGATTACATGGTGGTTCCTGTTTGCTGCTTCTTAGGGTTCCTAGCTACTTTGTTGGCTTAGCACTATGTGCTCTGTTGACAGTAACACTGTGGAAAGCTCAGGACCTGAACTGAGAAAACAACAGTGACTGGAAGTCCTTTCTGTAATGCAGTGCAAGGTTATCTGGGTGAACGATTGTTGGGCCTTCCTAGTCAACAAGTCCTTGCACATGCAACTTGTTGAATGTTGTCTACCTATCCTTCTGGTTTGCACAATTGTCCACATATTTAAAGTCTGTCATGATGACTATTGATGGTATTTCAATAAGGAATTTTTTTTTTTTTTTTTTTTTTCTGAGAGGCAGGGCCTAAGTATTTAGTTTGAATTTTTTTCTAGTTTTTGTGTTTTGTACAGCTTTGCAAAATTGCTGATTTCAGTATTGACAGAGGAAGAAAATAAGAGGAATGGTTTAGAGTGACTAAACTGAGAGGAACCTTGCTGTGAATGATACTTTCTTTTAGCTCATTAAATGCTTTGGCTTTGCAATAAATAAGTACCATTTGGCAACTAACTGTACCTGACTTCTGATGTTCAGATACAGATCACACAATTGTTTTGGATGTATGTTTTGCAGGATGGAACAGGATACAGATGGCCAAAGGATGATCATCCTATGAGTCGGCAGCCTGAATACAGGTATTTTATAAGACTTTATGGTAGTGCCATGCATAAACTGGGACTATTTAGGGCATTTTAATTTGTTATCCAAACAGTTTGTAGAGCAGAGCAGTGAAGTGGCAGGAACTTGGAAAATGACATGTATTGAAGTAAAAGCCAATAGTGGAAAAGTGGTTTCTAGTTGTATTGTTTGAAATACAAATTAAGTCAATGGTGTGACGTAAAAGCCTCTATTTTAGTGTTTGTTTAGTAAGGATAGGAATCACAATGATAGCATCGTCACAGTGTGAACCTGGGACTGTAAGTAATTCAGTGCATCTCCCTTATCAGTCACACTTTTTGCATGACTTTAGAGAATTCTTTGTTCTAATACTTGCTTCTACGACTGCAGTACCTCAGGACCACAATGCAGTGCAATGATATCTGCACTATTTTAAGGTTGGTGGAGTGGATATTTGGATTATGAAGTTCACTATAGCCTTCTGCTGGCTTCCCTGTTTTCTCAGCTGAACTGATGAGTTTATACTTCCATCATACGTTATGTTCATTGCTGTGAGCATTTCTTAGTCTGTACCTCAGGTTACCATCTGTGAAACATAAGGAATAGTATTGAACAGTAGGGCTGTATATATGTCTGCAATTATGTTTGATGTTGGATTATTTGATATGATAAAGTGCACAGGATAGTGTGACACTCAGAATTTAGGGACAAGGATGAAACCCACCGTAAATATTCAGACAAGAGTTAATTGTTAGTGTAACTGAAATATTAAGTCTAATCTAAAGGTCTTCTCATGGCTGTGCTTGTATATGCTCTGCATCCTGTGTTTCCACTTCTCAAGGTGTCTGTCATTATACCAGGCCTGTATTTCTATATACTGCATCATGGTGTTAGTCATGAATCACAGAATGGTTTGGATGAAATAATTGGATAAACAGCCCATCCTAACTCCTTGTTACTGCTATCTATATAAAACTATGGTTGTACCATAGAAAGATCAATAGAAGTAAACCAAGCTAGCTGAGTTATCTGCAGACCCCTGGTCAGTTAGAAAAATTGCTGTTAAACTTGCACGAATTAAAAAACCAATCAAACAAAAACCCCTAAAACAAACCAAAAAACTTCAGGCAGTTTAGGAAAAGCATAGACAGAACAAGCCTGAAGAGCTTGCTTAAAGCCTCAGTCATGAGGCCTTGCAAACTCAGTAAGAAATTGTTAGTATCAATGGCAATACAGGGCTATACAAGTTGCAGTAGATATCTATTCCTTTGAATATGATGATTTAGACATAGAATAACAGGGTTATTACATAACTTGATCATGAAAAAATCCTTCATATATCATAAGGGTCTGCGTGTAAAAGACTTGTCTCAAAATTGTGTTCTTGGTGCTGGAAGAAACAGTAAAGGGTTTTGAAAAGTAGTAAGTGTTTTTATAGAAACTTGCATAAAAATTCTTCCATTTTTTCCTTCCACTTAAAAACAATTGGAGTTTTTTAAAGTTGGGGAAAAAAAAGAATGAGAAGTCTTTTAGTGCTGGCAGTTTATTTTACACAGAACAAGAGTGGCACCCAGTGGTCAAAAAACTGTCTTAAATGTGTCTTCATTTCTTCCATTCAAAATGTCAGCTTGTTTTGTTGAAGGCTTTAAAAATATGCTGCGTGATAGGTGATGGTATGATCTGAGTCTTATATATTTCAGAATATGTAAGTGTTAAGCAACTGCAATAACACTGGAAGAACATCATAAAGATCCTTGGTTCTGCCGAGAGTATGGGAATGGATTTGCAGTTGAATGAAGCCCTACTGAATTATTATAGAAAAATGTATTAGCGTCTCAGGGAAGTATGATAGTACAGAAGAGCATGGGAGTAGTAAATAACCTTGGATGTAAAATCCTGTGATCAGACTGCTAAACACTTGCAGTATTACAAGCTTTGTGATAAACTTAGGATTTTTTTTGCTTATTGCTCAATATTGACCTATGTAGCAGATTTCAACAGAGGAAACTGAAGTACAGCACTTGCTATATGTTGTCCTTGTGGTGACAACACTAATTACTTTCTGTCTTAAAGATGTGTGGAATATAAAATGTGAGATTAAAAAATCTTTTTCTTTGGATATAATGGAAGTTTTTTGGATAAGTTCTTCTGGAATCCATGTAAGTTGTTTTTATTTTTTTCTTTGACGTAGCAGAAGGAGATTTAATAGGGCTTGAACCAGAAATACTTTTTTAAAAATTGCATGGAACATGGTTGAAATATAGTACAAAGTTATATTTGTAAAGCTGAGGATACCTGGGAGACTTGTAAAGTTAATGGGTTTTTGTAGTCAGTACAGTGACAATAAATTCTAAAAAGAATAGCTCTTTTATTGATACAAATAATCAGTTTTCTTGAGTATTTTAAAAAACTTATTCAGCAGCTAGAAATGTCCCATAAGAAGTTTTTTTTGGTCATATTATGTTTAGCATTTCCTCTTGAGCATTAATCTTTCACATTTTTTTTTTTCCTTCTGATTTTTGGCAGCTTAACTGTTAGAAACTAGTTTCTTATGTCTTACTCTTTCAGTTTTTGTTCCCCCTATCTTTCTTTGGAGTGGTCAAAAACATTACTTGAAATTCTCCTGAAGTAAAAGAAGCTGCTTATCTGGAATATTAAAACCCCTTACATGATGCAGAATTTGAGGTGTTGAAAGTTCCTGGCATTGAAGAAACCTGTTGTTAGGGAGGGTTTTTTTGAGTGGTGAGGCTTTTTTGTAGATGTTGCTGCCGTTATTTCTTTTTTTTCTTTTTTTTTTTTTTCCTTAAGATTCCTGCCTTTTCCTTAAAAATACTAAGTGTATGTTTATGTAGCAGCTGCATAGCTGTGGCTTGAGCTGTGATATGTCGGCTGACCAGCAGCAATTCTCCCATGAGTGACACGAAGATTGTTGAGGTTCTACCACTTGGCTTATCTGTCTTTTCTCTTGCCTTCTTTCTTCTTACGGAGTTATACCCTAGTTTCCAAGCAGCTGTCATTTTCCAGTAGTCTACCACTGAGTGGAGCCTTCTGCTCTTTTCTCTACCATTCAGTTCTTGAGAGTTGTTAGCCCTGTTTTATACTAAGCTCAGTGAACAGCTCTCATCCTGACCGTGGCTTCTTCATGGTAATATTGTATTTTATATGTAAAAAATGAAACAATTCAGAGGATGTGCTGGGCATAAATTTCAAAATGAGTTTCCAGCCTTTTCTCTGGTGGTGACCTAAGGGGTTCTTGTGAGATTTCTGAACTGATGTGTATTGTGTAACCTTACAGTTATAGCTTGGTTTGAAGTGCCTCTTGGTTTAGGCCTAGTTGGCATGTATAAGAGAATTGCATATCAAAGCAGAATCTCTTAGTTTGGAGAACAGAGAATTTTCTGCACACACGATGACGTTTTTAATGTCTTGGTCACTGATGCTATGAGAATTGAGAGACTTGGAAATTACAAGGAGTAAAGATCAAATAGCACATGACTTCTTTGTACATTTATCTTTCACTGATGTGGATCACTTCTGGGGCTGTGTTCCTGCTTGTCTTTAGTGATACATCAAACTCATTTATTCAAAGCACTTGATTGATTTTATTCTTGTCAGATTTTTCAGTTATAAATTTGCAGAGAACTATGGTGTTATGTTGAAGAACTCCAACCTTGCAGACCTTCTGTATGGGCCTTATAGCAATGGATTTTGCATACAAGTTCGTCTTTATAAAGTCAGATGAACTTTTCAGTGTGAAATGCTTTAGAAGCTTATTAGCTGCTGCTAACTTTAGTCATACTAAATTGTAATCCTTTTGAGTTCACAGAGCATTACTTAATTCTTTTTTTTTTCAGCCAAACTGAGTGCATAATATGTGAAATATGCAAAACTTGGCAACTTAAGATGGGTAAGACTCATCTTCAAAGAGAAATTACAATATGACGCACTTGTAAATCCCAGCTATACGTGCATTAAATTTGATCCTTAAAATTGTCTGAGGTCCAGGGTTTTGTAAAATAAGGACTACCATATTTGTAGACTAAGTACTCTGCATCAGTAGTAATGTTGGTTCTGGACTCCTGAGAAGTGGCTCATGTAAGACATTTTTAATATCTCCTCTCAAGTTGCAGATATGAATAAATTTTCCTTTCTTAATGAAGGAAATTTGCTGCTCCTATGTGTGTTGTTTTGTTTATTTGTTTTTGTGGTTTTTTTTCCCCATGTCCTGTGTGAAATTAGAAAGTAGTCTTAGTCCAGTCTTTAATACTGAAAATATTTTAATTATATAAATTAATGTTTAATTAAAATATTTATATTTTAATTAAGTATTCATGTACAAATGTATTTGTATATATAAAGCAGATCTGCTTATTTGTTGAGTGCACAGGAATTATTTTGTAATAAGTAGAAATAATATAGTAACTTTGGTGCTAGAAGTGAAATAAAAGTGTCTTGCAAAATGTTGAAACGATTTTAAACAATTGGTGATTTGTGAACAACTAAGATTCATCAATCAGCTCTATATTTTGCTTTGAAAATCTTTGAAATCACACACCGCCTTTCCTCTGAAAATATTATGTGACTTTCTGAACATTAAATTGCAGTTACTGTTCAGGGTGGTAAAGCATAACACACCCCAGTTTCTGTAGATGCATAAACCTTCACAGAGAGATTGTGTTTACCGAGAGCCATTGAAAAAATTGGCATCAAAGAAGGGGATAGAAGCCCAGCAATCCTAGCTTTCTGGTCTGTGCTTGACCTACCCTTCTGTTTGGTAATTAACCCCTTGCAGGTGTAGTATATGATGACAAGATCATCTAGAGGAGTGATCTGAAGATTGTACAGTAAGAGGAACAATATTCTTTGACAAAAATGCTTATTTTCTTTTTCAGAATGAAAAGAATGGTTACGTTCCATTTCATTATCTTTAGTAAGTTGTGAATAATAGGAGAGGTGCCTGAGGACTGGAGGAAAGCAAATACAACTCCAGTCTTCAAAAGGGGAAGAAGGAGAAGCT